TGATGATAGTGTAGAGATCTTTACAGGGTTTCCTGAGGATCTCTGGTGATTTTGAAGGGGGTTAGAATCGACAAAACCTCTCAACCCATTCTGCGTTATCAGAAGTGACTTTGAAGCAAAACTCGCGAAAATAGGGCAAAAGGACTTGGAGACGTGCTCAGTAAAAATCGATTTTCTTAGTGAAGAAAAAGAATTTCGAAAAAGGCTCTTTATTAGTTTAAAGCCTGGTCTCTGGCGAATCCAACCATGTAAAAGTTGTGGCACTAGCTCCTTTGGGAAAGCTTGAATTAGGGCCACAAAGTTTGATGCACGCTTTCAACACGTACCGGTTTTAGACACCGGGAACAATCCACTTTCGGTCCTAGAAGTCTGAAAGTTGCTTTTCTAGATTCACTTTTCAGCGTGAATCTGGAACATTTAACCTGAAAACTCGAAACGAAATCCAGAAAACTCAGGGTTACTTTTGTGAAAACGTCGATTTTTAATGTTTTGTAGAGTTTGTAGTGAATTGATCGCTCTACGAGATGCGATGAATGTTTCTGGGGGCATTTTTTATATAGACCGGAACTTTAATTTTCTTTGAAAAAAACGCTTTTTTCAAACAGCCATTTTTCAATTAATTGGCTAGCGGGACATTCAGTTTTCACTTGAAAAAATTCAAAGACATATGATTTTGTTCAGGTTTTACCGATTAGTTTATAAATTTTTAAAAAATGACTGAGATATAGACAAAATACTGAGGATAGCACTTTTTCTGAAAACTCTGTTACACCTTATTTTGTAAATTCTTTAACTCGGTCAAAATAAGTTCTGAAGGTCTACAAATTCTTTCTTTCATAACCCCCGTTTTGGTCATAGAATCCGAATATATGATAAAAACTGTTTGTCAATAAATATCGGGTTACGGCATTTCTCACGGAGTTGGCGAAACCGCTCTTAAGGAGATCAAGTTATAACAAAGACGGAGGTGGTTACCTCCACCCACACTTAAGAATGGAAGAAGATGCAGATCCATGTACATACTTCGCCATATTACACTGTAAAAAATAGTCGTAGATTAATAAACTATCAAAAAGGGTTTATTGAGAGACCAATAAACTTTTTAAAAAACACTTTTCCGTTTTTTATATCCAAAAAACTAAAAAGCGTTCGTGACCGATGCAAAATGAAAAACGGGCGGTTTTTTATCATAAATAAAAACCCTTTTCAGTTTTTTGTCGAGTCTAAAATATCAGCTAAAAAACTCTTCAGGTTTTTAGCTAGTTTTTTTAGACTCGACAAAAAACTGAAAAGGCTTTTTTATTTATCTGCATAGGAATGAGAAAAAGAAAAAAGTTAAAATGAAAGACATATAGTTTGTTTGTTTCTCTATCAAATTATTTAGTTTTCTCGTGTAATTTTGGACCGTTTTATTATTTATCTCCTGACGATGCAGTCTTAGACTGTGAAAAGCTAGAGAGAAATAAAAGAAATGAAGTTTGAATCTGTTGTTATCCTTACAAAATTTTCAGGCAAAGAAAGCTTTTAACGGACACCTGTCATTCCTTTTTTCTTATAGAAACCGTCACAACTTCTCCACGGTTACACAATTTCTATCAACAAGCCAAACAATACATAAAATCATTTAATCTATTTAAATCGATACCACCATCAACGAACGATCAAGATATACAAAATGAATTAATATCAACACATCTGTATATTGCACTATTATTTACATCATTCGTTATACTTCTATTCTATACATCACTTACAGCAACAACACAAACAGTAACTGTCAAAGAACCATCAATTACACAATATACACAAATCTATGAAAAATATTCAAAAACTGTGTCTTGCCCATGTTCGACGATAACTGTTCCATACGCTAATTTCTTACAACTTCAACCAACCTATCATCAAATATGTTCATCAGATTTTGTTAAACAGAAATGGTTTGATTATATCGAAAATTACAACACTGCTGCAGGTAACATGGTTCTTGGGGGACTTGCTAATGACTTTCTTTTATCCGGATCAGCCATGATGCAACAACTGAAATCGTTTTGTCAATTGTCACAATCAACAATTATTGATGGAATGCAAGTGTTTTATTCGACTAGATATGCTACTGCTACTGTTACGCCATTCGAATTATTTTCTACAGAGTTTGATAGAAATATCCGATTATTTATATCAACAACCACTAATACATTTATATCATCATTACAATTGATTAGGGATACAACACAAGGTAACAGTTTATTATCTATTTTAAGAACAAACTTTGTGCTTTTAGTAGCAAGTGCTCTATCTAGGATGTCCGATAAAAAACGACTTTTCTTCAGCCCATCTCTTTTTGTCCGATTTGCAACCGTTCATCGCTTCTTCCGTCGGGGCGACCTGTCGAAAACGTTCTCTCACCCTCTACAATGCACACTTTGTAGCCGTTCTTTGTTTTTAGTTACTACTCACATTAGACTTTGTGTGTTGTCTCCCTTTTTCAAACAGACAAACAGTCTTTTCTAAGCAAAAATACTTGATTCTCACAAGATTTTTTCTGGATAAGTTTTCTAAATCATCTTCCACCATCTCTTTCTGGTACGGGTGCATCCGGAGATTTTTGAGCTCGAGTCCATGTCCTAAAAGAAATCACTCTAGTAGTTACTTGGATGCACCTATCCCTGAACTGTTTACTATCAGTCTGAGTTTTCTTTTTGAAGGCAGATGAACACCCTTCGTTTTTCAGTAAAGTAATCCATTATTTGTTTTCCCACTCTACTAATACACCTGAGTGTAGTCACAGAACAAATTGTTGAATTTTTTACTTTTGTCCGATCAATGAAACAAACGTGGAATTCAGAAATTTTTGATTTTTCGGGTAGGATATGGGTATGGAAAGTTGTATCTGTGCAACGCTCTAGCCTGCAGTGCTCTCTATAAAATTAAGGACATTCCAGCTCTTTATGTTTTTGTAGTAAAATGAAAGAATTTTGAATCTTGTGGTGATGCTTGTTTTGCTATCAAAATTATAGGAGATCTTAAATTACAGTTTTGGGAAGAAATTCGAACTTTTCACTTTTACCGGCTCACATAATACGTTACGTAACGTTCAGTCGTACTGAGGTGAAAACCTGTACTAGGTGATTTTTTAAAACTTTAGAATCTTTTATTCCTCACCCCCGCAAAACTTGGACATTCTAAATGATTGACACCACCTTATCTTTCTGTATTGGAAGTACTACCTCAAGCTTATAATTATACTTGTTCATGTTATAATACATCATTATGTAAAGAAGTCTCAGCTGTTTATTATGTAAAACCCAATGATACTTGGATTAATCTTGCATTTGTTGTTCCTAATTGGTATGTGGGTTGTTATATACTGGAATCATTATTACAATCAACATTAGAATGTTTTTATCAACAACAATGTTTTGGACAAATGCATTTATACTATTCAGCACTTCCAAATATAAGCTTACTCAATTCATCTATTGAAAGTAAGTATCAATCAAATACAACTATTGGTGATATTGTTTACCAATTGATGGTTGAACACTGGAATCCAAATGTATCCTACGATCAGTATTATCAACAATGTCAACCAAAACAATGTACATATACATATGTGCAACAATTTGTTCTTATTTACGTTATAACAACAATTATTAGTATTTTAGGTGGTCTTACAAAAGTGTTACAAATAATTGTACCACGTGGAATCAAATTGTTAAGAAAGTATATTTTACCATATGCTAAAAACAGAAAGTTTAATGCGGTTGTTCCAGTTTCCGTCGGCGAATGAGCGTCGACAGAAACCAATATGTTGTTATTCATGCATAGTTTAACATTGAACGCCAAATTGATATTTAAAAAGAAAAACATAAATTATTTCTGTTGTTAGAGTCTATTTCTTTGAAATCATTTACATTTATTGTTAATGTCATTTTTTATGGGAAATAAATTGGATTTTGATGTTATCCTTTGACTTTTTACCTAATGTCGTTTATTAATGAGAAGGTTTTTGACTGCATCGAGAATATAATCATAACAAGGGGGCGAAAAAGGAATTTCTTTGAACATGTTGACAAAATTGGCTATACGATTTTAGTTTTGTAGAGCAGATGTTGCTCTATCTAGCTGTAAATTAAAAAGAAAAAATTGTTTAGGATCCTGTCCGCCGCACTGCAGGATATTTTGTCCGAGAAGGTACACCACCCGAAACTGGTAGTTTTCAGATTATTTTTAAATCGTTCGATAGTCCCATGAATTTATTTCAAAATGGTGAAACCATATCTCTCTAGTCCATTCCGGATCAAACGCTATTCAAAAAACATCCGAGTAGACTGCTTTTTGACTCCGGTACACTCTAAAAAAAAACGTATTCGCGCAAACACTTAAAGCGTTCCCGAAAATGGAACTATATGAAACGGCTTCTGGGAAATGGGCTTCCCAGCTCTCCTGAACCCTTTTCTGCTTGGGAAATCCTTTTGGGTTTTGTTCGACTTTTTTCTTGGAAACCTTTAAAAAAAGGTTTTTGAACTCTCGAAAACGCTTATTCGTTTCATATAGTTTCTTTTCCAGGAACCCTTAAAAAAAAGGTTTCTAGACGTGTTTCGTGAAAATGCTTGTTCAGTTTAACTGTGTTATATTGTACTCTGTATGGCTATTACTATTACGTTTTCGCATCTACTTTGATGAAAGGACAATAAAACCTTCATCGTTATCAGTCGCTCCAGGTGAGGATTCCGTTGAGATAAAATGGGAGATATGTTGAGGTATTGCATGTTCTAGTAAGAGTTACACTTTCTACTTAAGTTACCATTCGAACCGCCGTTCGACGGACTACAAAGTTAAGCGCGCCTTTTTTCAAAAATTTGTTTCATTCCTGAGAAAGTACATTTTTTCTGAATCAGAAGCGAAAAAAGCGGAATTCTGTCCGTAATTCTCTACTTTCTCCATCAGAACTCATTTTGTATGCAATAAAAATATCATATTGGGAGTTAGCATCGAAAACCGAGTCGAATGATATACTTTTTAACCCTATCTGACCACCTTTGTTCTTTTCGAATTTTCACACGCAGTAGAATTAGTGACATTTTCACCAAAACATGAAAATCAACGAAAAACTTCGAAACACACATCAACAAGTCAGAGAAGAATTTACAACATATTTTGGATAAACTCCCAGCGAACGTCGATCGCAGGGAGATATGAGTGTCGTCTTGGGCTCAGAAGCCATGGGAGAATATAAGTTATGAAAGTCAAAGAACTAAGCAAACGCAGACGAGCGTTACCTTCTTATAAATTACTTTTGCTTTCCGTTCGGGGAAGCTAGGCGCAAAAAAAGGGTCATGGGAAGCTAAAATCACTTTTTCACCATTGAGCATTTTGTAACTTGAGCCTCTACGTCAGAATAGCTTTAAACGGAGCTTTTAAAGTTAAAAATATGTTTTAGAATAAAAATCTAGTTATATCTCGGCTGAAAACGATATTTTCAAAACTATAGTACAGATGACGGTGGTGTGCACTGCAGCTTATTATGTTTTTATCTGGTATATATAAATATACAGAAAATTTCTCTTTTCCATCTTGGCTTTAGTATCCCCTCCTTGAGGTATGCAATACCCCCCTTGAAGTATTGCATGTTCTAGTAAGAGTTGCACTTTCTACTTAAGTTTTTGAAAGAGACAAATTGTTTAGCATGGTTTGAAAATAAGATGATCACTTTCTTAGGATGTACTCTTCAGAGATGGGCGAATCTGGGTCGACTCGAGTCGCATTTTTCTATGACTCAGACTCGAACTCGGACTCGAGGTGAAAGACTCAATAATCCTGATAAACTGACTCGAGTCACCTTCGAGCCAGTCATGTGCAACTTGAAGCTGTTATTATAGGGTTTATTATATTTGTTGTATACCAGAAAAGAGAGAGATTTGAGAATATTCTAAGTAGAATATTGCGTCACATGAGAAGATTGAAGATCTGTTCTTGGAAAAATGAATCAGGAGGAAGTTTTCGTCTAGAAAATGATTAGAGTCAATTTTTGATGGGACTCGGACCTCGGCTCGAAGGCTACTGACTCGGACTCGACTCAGACTCGAAAAAGTGGTGACTCGCCCATCTCTGGTACTCTTCTGAGGTAGTTATCGGGGTTTTTTCAATTGTTGATCAGACTGCAGTAGGTGAAAAAAATAGAAGTTGCTGCTCAAGTTTGAAGAGAAGCTCTTTAGAAGACATAAGTTTTCTTCCAAAAGTGTTTAGGGCTAGAACTGAGAAGGAGCAAATGGTATCCCCTTTACCTAAGTTGTACCTGTTTTTATTACCTACACTTGTACCTATTTCTATCAATTTTTTTTCAACAATAAAGTGCTATACGCAAAAAACGAAAGGTATGTTTATCGAGCAAATACTGTCTGACTATTTAGCATCGTAGTCATTCTGTCGAATCTTACTTATTTTCTCTTTGGTAAATTTCATATTACTCACACAAAGCAATCTTTAAAAAACTGGACTAAAACAAACTTTTAGAAACTCACTTACCTTTGAGTCGATCAGTTATGGCTGCATCATCAATAAAACATGTAGCTACACCAAAACATCATTAACGTTCCAGGATAATGGATCAGAGGAAGTCACTAGAACGAAAAACAAAGATGTAATTTAGCTGGACGTGAAATGTTTAAAAAATGAGATGATATGTGGACGCGAGAGCTGAACATGCAGAAGCTTCAGTTAATTTGAGCACAGATAAGAAAGACTAGTCCACAATCTGAGATTTTAGTGACAAACAAAATTGTCCATGGGGAGTTATGGATCTTTTATTGACAAAATCAGAGCAGACTTTTCGCAGGCATGCCTTCGAGCAAGCGATTAAACAATAACCTAACTGTAGAGCTTTTGAAGGGCTACAAAATATATTGTTTGAACATTTTTCCATCTAAGAAAAAAAACATTTTTGTAACGGTTTTTTCGAAATTATTTTGTTTTAAGTAGCTGGAAGAGACGTTCATTTTTACAAAATCATAGTGTAAGTTTAGATTTTGAGTATCTTTTATGCATTCTTCTCTCGCGTATTTTTTTCCTTTGAACAACGAACCGGTATATCTTTTCTCCAGTTTAACAGTAAAATATAAATGTCTATGAATCATACATGGAATAAAGAATATATGACTAATGAAAATGCACGTGAAAAAGCAACTAAAACTATGGCGAGTGAAGCTCGATTATATGTGCTGGGTTATTGTATGTACATAAGAAGAAATGGACTGTTGTAGAACGAGAAAAATACTTTGACTATGCAAGTGGCAATAGTAGATCGCAAAGCGATGTTCGTTTAAGATTGTTTGATGTCGCCCAAACGCTAAATACCATACTACACCAACAACATGCCCACAACAACTATTCGTTCTTTTTCCCACGGAACATTGCCAAGTCTTTCCAGTTATAGCTTTGGATTCATCTTCTTCTGTGGCTGCTATAGGCATATCATATTGCACCCAGCAGAAGTGTTTATCAATATTTTTAAATCGATTATGTACTTCACATCTCAATATTCCACTTTCATTTGGTAATATTTGGGTAGAAAATTTTCTTTCTGAGTCAAAATGCTGCTTACTGTAGCAACGACTCTGTTTTAATTGGTAAGAGTCAAAAAAGTAAGACAGAAGTTGATCTTCTGTTAAAACTGGAAAGGGGATACCAATGAGTTGTATGCTCTCGCGGGGTACAAAAAGTAGATTGTTAACCCCTTTTTCGTAGTAGACAACGTCGTTACATAAGCAGCTTGAACAGAAGAAAAAGTCTGAACAGAATCGCATGATTTTTAAATAGGATGCATACTGCCTCAATTTTGATATACTTTTTATATATCCGCAAATGAATATACGTTAGAATTAAAGGAAGGAACAAATTCTACCAGCTCATCGAAATGTCCGTTCATCTTATGGGCAAGATAACTCGACATTCTGATACACTAACGACATAACTCTAATCGTCCACCTTGAGGATCAGATGAAGAATTGAAATAAATCGCCTTAAATTTTTTCTTCTCGTGAAGAGTAATACTTGAAACAGGCACTCTTTATCTGATTCAATTTACTTTGTCAGGATTGCGTAAGCTCATCCTGGATATTATCTTTCTTATTCATAAGCTGAATGAAGATTTTGACGAAGAAATAAAATTTCTTTGAAAATTTGTTAAATGAGAGTTTAATAAACGAATGGAATCTTTATCAGCTCAATACTCTTCGTTCTATGGTGCGGAAAGAATGTTGTTTTCCAAATAAAACAGTGTATGACATGACACATTAGCATCATTTTATATAACATCATTCTGCACATAATACTTTGCTCCAAACAGCCAAACAGTATCGCTCAAAAACCTTTTCTCTTAGGGAACACAGCAAAATACAATCCGGTAAGTCGGTTTTCTCACCAGGATAAAATACGAAAAGAGAAAGTGAAAAGAAAAACATATATATTCCGAGCGAAAAAAAAGAGAGAAAGCAATAAAAGGCGTTAATTTTCAGTTTTTCCTCTATTTCTCGAAAACTAGAGTTTGCACTTAAAAACAGACGGTGGATTCGGAATCTACGTAAGAAACTAAATCAGAATACATATACCGTTTTCTTCCAAACCGGACGCAAGTATAACCGACTCGATAATGCTTAGTATAATAACGAAATCAATAAATCTGGGATGAGTATATTTCCACACTAGCACTGAAATGCAGGAGACGTTGAACTCACTGTATGTTTGTACGGAAAAGAGATTCGTGCTGATATCCAGAGCCCGGTATCGACACCTCACACTAATTTCGTGGTATTGTTGATTCAATGTTCTGACACCCCTGGCCGGAACAATCGCTGAGTGTCTTCAAATTCGGCCATATTTGAAGCTGTGCAATGGGGACATTTATGCTTGCTTTGTCCTGAAAGCAATTTGTTTTCGCTTATAGTTACGAAAGTTGTTTTTTGCGTCAATGTTTGAAGAAAATAGATGTATATTCTCTTCCTCATTCTCGCCGTTCATTGCATGAGATTAAGATTAAGATTTATTTTTACTAAAGTGCAGGATATCACAAAAAAGAACAAAAGACTTGTGGCATCCGCGGATGCCCTGTGATAACCGAAAACTAAAAAAGGAATCAGACTATGTATGCTGTTTGTCTCTAAACCGCCCCATATCACCGATAAAAAAAATTAAAGTTTGTTTAGAGTTAAAGAAAAGTACTTTTTCGTATTCAGCACACTTGATAACGTGGAAAATTTTCTATTTTTAGTGACGGGTACCGCCAAAAGTTAAGAAAAATTTTCAAACAAATTGACGTAGAAAAATCTTCATGGCAAAACTATACAATTGTGAAAAATTTTCTGACCTTTTTGGCGGTATCCCGCGCTAAGAATAGAAAATTTTCGAGGTTATCAAGTGTGCTGAATACGAAAAAGCACCTTTCTTTAACTCTAAATGAACTTTAATTTTTTGTCGGTGATATGCCAAAAAAATCAGCCTGATTTGCTATGCTGTTGAGAGTTGTAGCATTAAATCAGCTAAATGTTGGCCGATAGAAATATTATCTGACGATAATCTTGCACCACGTAGTCGATTCAGAGCTGCTGAAGCTATGCGTACATAGGCTGGAACATTTGACAAAGCTGTTTGTTCATCACTGATAGTTAGCGTTTTGACTAACTCCTGTGCACACGACTCTTGCACGCCTCTGATTTCTGTTCTCTTTGTCTTATAAAGACGATGTCTCTCCAGACATTTCGATCTGTGTGTTCTTCTTGTTTTTAGTTATTTCAACTTTTGAATATATTGTTTAAAACAGTAGCACACCCTAGTGAATGTACTAAAGCCTGAGCACTCAAAGTCGTACTCTGCTAAAAATGTCACCAGTACTCATGAGTACTCACACGTTTTTTACTCATTGAGTATTTACATGACTACTCATGAGTGAGTAATGAGTACTGTAGGTACCACTTTGAGTATTCATATAACTTATGGGCAAAATACTCATGAGTATTGTTCACCTGGTATTTTCATATAGAGGAGTGATCTCAGACATCCAGAGTTAGAATACAAGTCTATTCACAGACGAGTCCATCTCTGACTACATACCGAGAAACTAGCGAGAAAAAAGTAATACATAGCAAAACGTTCGATTTTCCAGCGGGGTGAAAATAAGAGAAACAGTATACATATTCTGATTCGCAATTTCACGAGGATTCCGAATATGCTATCCGTTTTCTTGGACAACTCTTAGTTTTCGGGAAAGAAACGAAAACGGCTTTTGCGTGGAAACTAGCGCTTTTTATTCTATTCTATCATTTATTTTGCGTTCTTTCCGTTCATTTTTTTCTCTCATTTCTCTCATTTTTTTTTCTTTATATATTGATGTGGAAAGAACACATATAAAATCAGACTGTTATATATATATATATATTGATTGATATATTGCCAAAATCAACACAAAACATAATACATTATCGAGTTTATTAAAATGTGAATGAAATAATACATGCTACAGATTAACAATTAAGAAAACTAGAAATCAACAACATTTAATGTTCAATTTAATCGACGATTTCTTTCACCACGAAGTATTTTCATATAGAAAAAATAATCACCAGTAACTTTTATTTTTTCACCATCTTCTGTTTCACATGTAGTCGAATTACTTTTTCTAACTTTACATTCAAAATCACTAACATAACATACTTTATCTTTATGCTCCCCATATACTAAATTAACTGTTACATTCAGACTTGTGAAGAATACCATTTGTGAACTAAATTGTGATGTAATGCCAACAGATTTTAAATAATCGTATTCATTCCTTGTGATTCGAAGATGATGATGATGTTCTCTAGCTAACTTTCGTCCTCATTTCAAATAGTTTCAGCTCAAATTTTTTCGTTATTAGCGTCTTCTATTTAATTACGAAGACAGGCTTTTTTGCTTAAGTTTATCCTCATTTCGTTCGGATAATCAATGTTTTCTTTTATCTCACGCCGGGACATCAAGAATGAGTTTGCAGTTTATATGCCTTTTATGTAAGAAAAGTTTCTGGCTGTTATTATTTTAGTAACCTCGAACATGAGCAAATTTATTTTGAGCAAAAAGTTAGTTAAGCAAAAGGACTTGGAGCAAATCTGTTCTGAGCAACTAGAAAATGAGCAACACTGCTTTCAGCAAATTTTTATGAGCCGAAATGTGCTAGTTGCTTCTCAAACGGCTTTAAAAATAAACTACGTAGTTTTTATTCAAATTTCGATCTGACCTACAGTAGTTCCGTTTTAAATTCAACTACTCTCCGTTTCAAAATGGTTGGCACTCGGTTGCTTTTTGAATAACTTTTGATAGGAATGAGATAGAGACCTGCGATTTTCGCTGTTCAATAGCCAAGACTTGAGCAGAACTTTTCACAAGCGGA